CAGCAGATTCAACCGAAGGAAACGATTGCGTCGGCTGTTCTTCGTCTAAAAACTGCATTTCTCCAAAGGGGTCTCGCAGCCATTCTTCTTCATCTAGGCCGTGATGCTTTTCCGCCAACGTCTGCTCGACATACAGCAGGATTGAGTGGCGGAGTACGTCAGCAGTATCAGCCGTCTCCCCAGACTTTCCTATACCCTCTACAGCATGTGAATGGCTGCTTTGTGTCTGCAGTTGCCCTCCTAAGTTTCCCTTTCTCTTCTTCTGCGGCGGCTCCCCCTCAGCCTCTCCCCAAGCCTCCAACAAGTCTGCATCCAGCGATTTGGTTGATCTCCGGTGACGGGGAGCGGCTGTGACCAATTGGGAGCCTCCTCCACCGCACAGGTCTTGAAGGACATGGCTGCCTTCAGAAGATTCTTGTGTCTCCTGGTCAACAACTAACCTTCGTCCCAGACGGTTTGGGAGCCACTTTGTACTCACAGCGGCACAACGGGACACCAGGAAGAGTATTGCAACAACTGAAGCGAGTGCAGCTAGGGATAAGACCATACGGCCGTCAAGGCGCTTACGGTACACGCAACTGGACGAGTCGCCGTGCAGCTCTCCGCGTGCATGTGTTCTTTGTGATGCTGCGGGAGGCAGCGACGACAGGCCAGGAGTGTTGGCACGAAATTGTGACTTTATAGCCCAGGAATCCGATGTTAGCGTATATATATTTTGTTGTTCCGAGCACCAGATGCTGGTTTTGGCCAGGGGTTCACGGTCGGTGCCACCCTTTAAAGCCTGCATCGAGGTCCCCGTCATCAGGAACTTCCCGGGGAAATCAGCCTGTTATCTCTAGATTAAATGGTATCCGTTAATTGACAGGTTATTCACAAGGAACCGTTGGACCATTAAGACCGGCTTTCGTCCTTGCTCGAGAAGTACCTCGTGCAGTGAACGCCTAGATCGAAAGGCATTGAAACCATGTTCTGGGCGGCATGTGCACTGGGTACCCTGAAACAATGCTCAACAGAGCAAACAATAAATTGAGGCTTTTCAAATTGCTTATGGCGGGACTTCTTGAGGAGGCGAAGGCAGCAATATCTAGTTACGGTTACGCGGAACAACTCGTGCAGTGTTTAGCCCGATAGGGGTACAACGAGCTGGTATTTCAGACATCAAGAACGCATGAAGCCACGAAATTTTCCCCTGGTTTCTCGTACAATTACTCGCTCCAGATCGCTGCGTGTATCACACCACGACGTGGCACAGCCTGGGGCTTGGCTCAGTTGCAGTGACAGTAAGCTTGCTGGGCTCTTGCTAAAGACAGGAACCGTGCCAACCCCAACAATTTGAAATCCAAAAATACTAATATTTCGACTGCAAATATACTGGAGGCAATCAGCTGCAGGGATGAAAATGCGGATAGTCGCGTGTAAAGGGATCAACTGATCTAACAGACGTTTGGCGCGGGCCCTACAATGAGAACACCAGGGAAAGGCAGGTGAACTATCGGGAAGTGACCAACAATCGTCCACATTTCAACCCCAGACGTGGGTGTCGACCTCCCATCAGTGCCCAGTCTTTCGTTGCCCGCACAATAAAGCAGCATTGCCTGCGAAGCACGCCGGTTCGACTTCCCCAATCTTCTACGTATCTTTCGTTTTTAGTCACATTACTTGCGCATTTGTCATCACGGCATATGTCAAATTTGTGTTCCGCTAGCTCCTCACTCACATTCTTTGCGTTTTCAGTGATCAATTCTTTACATGGCACCTAGGGTAGAAGAAATACTACCTTGAGTCCTGCACATATTGGCGAGCTTCCAAGTCGCTTACCCAATAGACCGCTGGCATTGTCCAACCTCTAGGTATTCCCTACCGACCGTGGAGTCACTTCAGAATCGATTTTACCACTGATCTTCCTTCAGCCGCTGCAAGAAATGACACTATCTTAGTGCCGGTGGGCTCACTCAGTTAGATGGGATCAAATTGTCCCAGTGAAAGGGTGGTTGACAGCCACTGGCACCGCGGAGTTTCTCGCTGACAGTAAAATTCGTTACGCTTGCTCTGATCAAGTTCCTCGTTTCCAGTCTTGTCTATGGCAGCAGTTGTGAGATCGTCACAGTTCACAGTCTTTCGCCACAGAGGAAAGACCAGACAGAGCGTTTTAAACGTATTCTTGAACAAATGCTGCGCATGCATATACAATATGACGAGCCATTTCCACTGTTTGTGGCAGTGGAGATAGGATACAACACAGCCACTGCTCAACAAAGCTCTCAACCTTTGGAGCCACTATGGGTGAGGGCCCTCCTACATAACGGACCTCGATGTCGTCGATGCTTTGTCCCCTATCCTTACACCTTCCGCCATCGTCAGTAAGTGGCAAAGTGGCTCTGCATCAAACATATATCGGCTATGAACAACTGCTCTAAGTTCGAGCCTCGCTCCCGCTGTCCATCAGATGTCACGAAGATAATCAGAACTGTGGCATTCCGCCTAGTTATGCCACCCACAAAAGCATGACGCGACATCTTCCATGTGTCCCATTACTCACGTCACTCAGTCTCTAGGGAAACTAAGCAGCGCCATTAACTCCCCTCTGCGGCAAAACCAGCCATATAGACCAATTCAACGTAGATCTGGGCCAGAACAGCTGGGGACAGTGAGTTGAATACATCGTCAAATGGCGAGGTGCACCGGTACATAGGGCTACGTGCGAACTAGCCCCCAATCCTAGCCCGTGGTCTGCTCTACTTTTAAGCGTCGAGGTGACAACAGCGCCGAACACAGCACGCCAAGTCTCATCCCTGAATACTCATACCATGACAATGTACTCCTCTCAGAATCTACTCCTTCCAATTACTACAAAGCACCGCTTGTTGTCACTTTCTTCCTACACATCTGCGCTCATCCTCCTCGCTCCTACGTTTGGTTCTTCTGTCTCCTAGGGTCAAATTACTGCCTGTTGTGAGTTGTTCGCATGCTCTGGTCGCTGTACCGGCACCCTTACGCTACAAAAAGGGGGGATCTGGTGACTGTGCCTTCCCTGTGATAGTGTGCGCGATGGTGCAGCCAACATTCTTATTGACAGATGCAAATCACGTAGACAAACGGAGGGGCGGTCTACAAGTAACCTGGATCTAGAGAAAATGAATGGCAGGCAGGGCAAGTGGACAAGGCATAGACAGCCTTCAGAAGGTGCCGGGCCCGACGACCCCTTGCAAAGGTGCTCACAGCAATTAAGGATATTGGCAGCAGGGAGTAGCAGAGAGCATAGCAGCCTCGATTCCTGCCGTTGACAACAGAAACATGGGTTACACGCTTGTAATTAAGATTGCAGATGTATTACCCTAGAACTCCATCTGGGCCCCATGTCCATGAATAGTGGCCCCGACACAAATATTAGCGGATCTAGCGTGTCCACTCAGCAGAAGCAGGACGAGAGGGCGGTAGGCAGGACAACGCAAGAGTTGAGGGGAGCCTTCACGCTGGGGCCGTTAGAGGGTGACTAAAACTCAAGGGGTACCAATGCTGGCAAACATACAAGAAATGAGGTGACCGGTGAAATTAGGAGAGGGGGTGGTGTACTGCGCCAGCACTACGGTGACACTCGAAGTGGACCACTAGAAGATTATCCGCTATGCTTTGTCTAAAGCATTAACGTACTATTAGAAGTAACTCTAGGTACATTATTAAAGACATACAGCTCTCGGACCACATGTATTCTACAGATACACAGGTTCGGGGGCTGCTTGTGAGAGTCGCGCTGCAGCCAGGGCGCTGACCAGTAACGGGGTCTGAATGGGAGTCTGAAACGGCTTCTTCTTTTATTTTCAGCCCAAATATGACATATAATGTGAATAAGGGACGCTACTTTATGTTTTAAAGCTATTTAGAGGTAGTTTTCCGGCTGAGGCGCATGTATTGCATGAGTGCACCAGCGCCGACTAGTTCACCGAGACGACGCCCTCTGCGAGCTGCTGTTGCAGGTCTGGACCCCGATTAAACGAAGCAGGACACAAGTGGAAAAACACAGGCACATTCCCCCACAGTTGCTCACCATTTATTTTCTCTTCGCTTGTCCCCTGTTAGGGTGTTCTGCAGCGTAGGGTGTGTATTTCTGTGAGGCTTTCCATTCTCGTCAGCAGCCGCAATGAACGACTCAACGAAGTGCCTAACAACCGTTACAATTTAGCAAAAGTGTCAATGTAAGTCCCATATGTGAAGGGAAACATACCAAACTTTTTGCCTGGAGGGGACATCAAGCGGAAATACAGTTGCAGTGAAGGGACTCGTATGCGACAGAGGCTGTTACGGTAAGACGCGGTGAGATACGGAACGAACAAAAGTGAAACAAGAAAAGACAGGCAGGCAAGACGATTTAGAGTGGTTTGTTGCCTTTATCAAAGGGATAGGAATAAAGAGACGGAAGTAAACAGCGATTACGCCTCTGCAGTGGGCAGTAAACGCGATGAGACCAAGGCCGACGCGTACATGACGACAGAAGATACGGACCACAAACCGAGACAGGCGCATAGTATATAGTTATGTAATGTATTGCAGAGGGACTTAGATGCACAGCGAGGGAAACAAACCTGCACGAAGGCCTCTGTAAGAGGAATAGGACGGGAACGGGTACATTGGCGATGACAGGACAGGAGAGAGACAAGGACAAGCGTACACAGGCCCAAGGGAAGCCAGATGAAGAGAAGGGTAGACAGAGACTGGTTATATCCTCTCCACTTTAATAGTTCCAACTTGTTAGACTGCAAATATCAATCCATTGGACGACTTGGACGTTAATAGCCCCATGCAATCGATGTGAGGCGACACAGAAGCGGACAACAGTTGCCCATTTACGATGCTGCCTCAGCACCCCACACATTTCCCACGTTCAACTTCCTGCGTGCCGCCTCAAGAACAGCAGCAGCGTATTGTTGTTGCATTTGACGTTTCAAAGGGAGAGACTATAGATCCAAACAACCCTTCACTGCGACGCTGCTGTCGTCTGCTCCAGCAGTTGGGCTGCACTTGTGTCGTTAACCGATCTCTTCTTAACCTAGAAAGGTTGCAACGCCACGACGTATCGTTACTTATTATGGGCAATCCACTCAAGCCGTTCACCGCAGACGAACTCCTGTCCCTGAAACTCTTTCTACAGACTCCTCCAACTGACACAACAACGCACCCTGCAGCGGCAAATGTTCCGGTTGCGGTTACTTCTGCGGTTGCTGCTGATGAGTCACAAACGTCGGCTGCGATAGGTGCTGCCCCTTCGGTTGTTGCCGACGAACCCCACTTATCAATGCCTGCTGAGAAGCAACACACCACGGGAACGGGGTGGTCTACTATGAGAAAAACAGGAAACAATGGCGGTTTCGCCACTGCAGCAACAAAGACGAGTGTTCGGCAGGCCCGCAGCATCTTCATCCTCGGAGGCAGCAACAGCAGCAGCAGCAACGTGAATTTCTTGCTTGAGGAAATGGGCCTTTCTCTTGCTGCGGACTCTGTTATTTCAGTCATTCCTCCTACTCTGCCGCAGCAGCACAGTGGCATTTACCACCCAAGAGAGGTAGTGCTCCAGCAAGAGCAGCTCGTAGGAGAGAAGATACGGCAGGAAATCCAACGACAGCAACAACATGGCAATACCAACAACAGGAGCGTCAGCGGGGACAGTGTTTTTGTTTATCCTCACGGATCCACTGTCTACGTGCAAAGCCCTGCTGTGCCACTGCTATGTAGCAGCAACTCTTGCAGCCCTTCTCACAGACCACTCATTGGTGCTGCTCCTGCCGCTGGAGGAGGGGTTGTTGTCGCTGCTGGTAGTAGCCAGCTGCTGCAGGACCCTTACTTGAATCTTTACAGCAATATGGAGTTAGTGCGCCTGCTACTGCAGCTTCTTCTGGGTTATGTGTCGCTGAAGCAGCTGCAGCCAACTATAGGAGAATCAACTGCAGCAATAAGCAAGTACGTCCGGCAAACAGACACTGAAGTGCTATCGGTGTTGCCTCAACCATGCTTAGAGGCCCCGCCAGATATCCCTAGGGACTTTCGTCTGCTGCATCAACAGCAAAGTTTTGCGCTGCAGCCGCGGCTGCTGCTGCAGCTGCAGCAGTTGCTACAGCAGATAAATACGAACCCAATAGGCAGACCACTTGAACTAATCAATCCCGAATTGATGCAGCCCTTTCCGCCGCTAAGGCCTGCCCTACACCCACCAATAACGCCGTCTTTCCCTGTTCCCTCTTTACCCTTAATAGACTTGGACAGTCTCGTGATGTCTTCTCAGCAGCTGCTACTTGCTGCAGCTGCTGCTGCAGCTGCAAGTTTTGGTGCAAGTGCGCAAGCTGCTTCTGCAGCGGAGTGCTTAACTAGTGTAGCACTGGATCCTACAAAGTCGCACCCACAAGCAGCAGAAACAGCAGCAGCACCCCAGCCTCATCGGGAAAGTTGTCTGGTGAACTTTATCTTGACAGCTGCGAAAGTGACGGGTCTGTCGCTTCTCCATGGGAGGCAGGAACAGCAAACTGGAGGTCATCCACAGCAGCAGAATGATCAACCGCAACATAATCATGACAATGGGCTGTTGGATCAAGTATCAGGCAAGGATGCCAGAGCTCGCGCTGCTCTGGTTCGTTTGCTCGTCTGCACCCTCGAGAGGCGTTGTAGCAAAACGAAGCAGCGGACTGGTGATGCTGCAGAACCAGCTTGAGTTACCAGCTGCTACTGTTGCAGCTTTGACGTCAGTTTCTACGGCTGTGACTGCGTAATGCTGCTGGTGCAATAGCTGTGTCCTAACTGCTACTTAAATGCACGCCGGGAAATTGAAGCATATGCTAAGGTGCGCAGAATCGGACTGTAAGGGTCTGGAAAGCTAAACAGCTTCAAACGGCCCCCGAAGACATAGCACACCGCAAAAGGAAAAACTGAAAATTTAAACAAATGCTCAATGCAGTGTTTTCGCTGTTGCAATTCTTGTGGCAGTCGCAGCAGGCATTTCTACAACCCCGCGCTCTCCTCGAGCTGCACCCAGAAAGAGCAGCCTTTGTTGTGACAGTGTTCCGTATCCATCGCGCTAGCCACTGCTGCCATATCTGGGTCTTTGCGCATCAAGGAGGTAGGCGAAGACAGCAGGTTGTGCTGCTGTAACAGCTTCTGGAGGGACTTGAGGGCCATCCAGCCTTTGTTGCTACTACTACTCATGTCACAGGCAGTAGCAGCGGTGGAGGAATGAGGGAGTGCACTGCACTTCGCTCTGCTGCAGCTGCTACGGGTAAGCGGTTCTGCTGAAGCACTACGGTTGCCGCCTGTACAATTTTTTTTGCTGATCCCGCTGAGGCTGGAACTATGTGTGCGCCCAGTAGAGAGGCGGAATCTGCTGCGGTTTCTGCTGCTGTCGCCGCTCCCTTGACGGAATTGTAGTAGCAGCTGCTGCTCCTTGTTGGCCAAATGAAGCAGCTCATCCCTGCATAACGCCTCCTCCGACTGCAGTGCGAGCTCCTCCCGTTTCAACTTCTGCACCTGCCGCCTTCTTTCATCTGCCTGTTGCTGCAGCTGCTGCAACTTTTGCTGAGCATTCTGCCTGATGTTTGCTGCTGTATCTCTCTCCGCATGTGCTCGCTGGAGTATCCACTTGGCGCTGCAGGATTAACAACAACATGGAGCAGCAGTTCACTAACACTTTAAGCAACTATGGGCAGCGTCTGCGGCTATGGGAGCTGCTGCACATCACTGAAAAATTCACCGAGCAGCAAGATACCCACCTGCTAGCTTCCCTTGCCCAGTACTGAATTGCAGTGCACACTTTGTCCCTTCCGGCTGTGGCTAACAGTATTCGCAGAGCCTCCTCCTTGTCTGCGTCATGCGACGCAGCAAGCAAACCTCCAAAGTGGCAGCGTGCTGCGTCACCAGCCGTTGTCGCTGCTGCTGTCGGTACACTCTCTGTTCCTGCGGATTCAGGGTCCCCTGCGGCAGCCACGGCAGCAGCAACCTCAAGCCTCTGCTTGTTCCTAACTGCCGCAGCAAAGCGAGCGCTTTGCTGTAGGAGGTCTTGATACGCTATTTCACAGCAGCAGGACTGCTGCGCCAGCAGCTCATATACTTCAGCTTCTTCTTGTTGTCGTTGCTTCTGTTGCGTTTCGATACTTTGGCGCTGCTGCCGTACCTGCAGAAAAAGCAAACAAGACTGGCTAGCTAGTCACCTGAGTGGCGAGCGGAACAGCAAACCACCCTGATTATATACGACTGCCAAGAAACTCTGACTCAGGTTTCGGAACACCAGCGATTCCACCCGTAGCATCCTAGGTTCGTTTTGATTTGCCAACTACCCTCCGTTTAAAATGCGAATCTCTGCTTTCCTCGCACAGACACGCATGCAATGCATTAGCTTCATGAAGTGAGGCTCCAGCAGAATCCCTGCAAAGGTCCCGGCAGTTTTCCCTTAGAATAATCGCCTGCTACAAATTAATTGAGCTTCGTTCTTGCTATTACTGCTATTTCTGTCACTCTCCGGCAAACGAAAAGGGCTGTTAGGGCTGGGGTGCTGTTTCAAAAAATCTGCGGCATCGTCATTTGCCCAGCAGAGCAGGACTCACATCCTGTCTCTGCTGCTGAAGCTGCCTCATGCGCTTTCTAGCAGCAAAGGTTGAGCGACGGAGTCCATTCAGCTCGAGTTGCAGCATCGCAAGGTGGTTGTCTCCACTGCTGTCTCGGGTGCCGCAAGTTCTTTCCATATCCCTGCTGCCTGCTGATGCTTCCTCCACCTGTCGCTGCTGCTTCTGTTCCTGCTTGTTGTCGCATGGGCTGCTTGAACTGGTCAATTTATGCAACAAATAGGCAGCTGGACCGAACCGAGGTGTGTCTCCGGGCTGAAGGGGCTGCTGCTGGTTCTCCTCACCGCGGCTGCTGCTGGCACTGCCAGTTGATTTAGCCCGCTGGCGCAACAACATCGGAGAATTTTTGCATTTGGTGTTACTGCTGTAACTGCAATTGCTGCTGTCGCTTGTTGCACTACTTGTTCGGATGGAGCTGTTGCTGCTACATCTGCTGCTGCGCTGTTCTTCGGCCACAGCGTGAAAGCTGCAGCTGCTGCTGTTGCAATCTGCATGTGCCTCAGTGTCACAGGTATCTGCGCTACTCTGGCGGTTTTGCTTAGATGGTTCCGACCTGTTTCCCCCTTGCTGCTGCTGTTTATCCTTAGCTTTAGATATGTCAAGAGCTTCCAGCGGCAACTTCTGGAGCCGCGAAGCGACCAGCGAATGCTTGCTACCTTCCGCCGTTCCATCCACAGTTTGTGCATCTGCCTCAAATGCTCTGGGCAGCTGTTCAACCTTTATACACTCAAAAGAAACCGACGATGCACGTGGGTCTACTGCATCACCAGGGGCAGCACCAATAACAGCAGCCGAGGTTTCTTGTGCCTCTGCATGTTTGCCTGGACTGGTTTGTTTGAGAAGGTCCTCGTCGATTTGTTCCCCTCCTCGCATGCACGACTTTTGCAGAAGTAGCAGTTGCTGTCGCTGCTGTTGGACCGTCTGTTGCGCCGCAGAAAGTGTATCTTTCAGCTTGTTTGCTCTTGCTGCCTCTGAATCTAGACGGTCATGGAGTGCTGCTTCTTCCCTCTGTAGCAGCAGCAGCTGCTGCTGCTTCTCCTCGTTCTGGCGCTGATCCAGATCACAGACACAGCAACAGTGGCATCAAGGAAAAGCTCCACCAGCCAACCCAAAACAGTAGCAACTGAAAGGGTCGCTAGAACGGATAGCAGCAGTCCCGCAGTTACTCACAGCAAGAAAGTCGAGCTTTTGTTGCTGGAGCAGCAACTGCTGTTGCTGCTGCTCCAGTTTGTCCTGTAGATGCTCCACTCTTTGCTGCTCTGCCTCGCTCTGCTGCTGCAGCTTGAGGGTCTGTGCGAGGTGTTGCTTGCACGCGTCTTCATATTGCTGCTTTTGTTGCTGCTGTTGTTGCTGTAGTTGAGATAGCTGTGCTTCTAGGGCTGCCTTCTCTTGCATGAGACAGCGCAGGAGCTGCTGCTTTGTGGCGATTTGCTGCCTTTGCTGCTCATTTTGTTGCTGCAGCGTCTCACGCTTTCCTGTTTCCTCAGCTAGTAGGTCCTGCAAACAGTGACCTCAGCAACAAGCAAAGGCGGGTTTCAGAAGCCGCACCAGGGCACTAGCCCACCTCCCGGCTGCAAGTGCCTACTATCAAACGGCAAAGCAGAAAAGAGTTAAAGCAAAAGACGTGGCGTTAACCGGTTATATCATCCACAATGGCGACGACAGCAGCACCTGCAATTCATGCTTTAGAGTATTTAGCTCGTGCTTCGCCAGCAACAGCTCGTCGGTGCTGCTGTTGCCCTTTCGCAACAACTCGCGCTGTGCCGCAACCTCCCTCCGCAGTTGCTGCTCTTGCAGTAGCAACTGCTGTAACCGCTGACTTGACTCAGCCTGCATACAACCATGGACCAAAACTTATAGCCAAGCCAGCAAAACTGGGAGTAGGCGGGTGGACACTGGAGGGATTGATGCAGGAACCGTTCAACGTGCCGTACGCAGCATCGAAATATCAATATCAGCAGCAGCAAGACTATTACTTACACTCCCAGACTTGCGCATGGCAATAGGGCGGTCAGTCTCAACAACAGCTGTTCCGGCAGTGATACTCTTCGCAGCTTACCTGCAGGCGCGCATATCGCTCTTCGTGCTCCCGTTCAGCAGCTTCATTCTGCTGTTGAAGCTGCTGCAACTGCTGCTGCAATGCTACGACTTCGTCATTTTGCTGCTGGTGCTTCCGCTGCAGCCGTAATAGTTGCTGATGCTGCTCGTGGAGTGCCTGCTGTTGTTGCTGCTGCAGTGAAGCTGCTGCACTGAGCCTTTTGCGCGCTTCCTCCAGCTCCTCAGACTGCAGCAGCACCATTTGCCTCTCCCTACCGAGCACAGAACGGCAACTGAAATCCACAACTCTGCCTGGATGAACAGCTTACTTGCCTAAAGCCATAGGGGAAAGGGAGGTAATGGAAAGAGGAAAGGCAAATCGGCGTCCTGCTCGCCAGTGTTGCGCAAGTCACACTGGGAAGAACACATGTCACACATGGATTAGTAAATTTCCCTCTACAGCTACAACATTAGGATCTACGGGTACCTCTCGAGTTGCAGCTTGTCCGCTTCTTTCTCGCGCTGCAGACTCTGCAGTCTGGCCTCCTTGTGAGAGGCAGCTGCATTCAACTGTTGGACGGCTTGCAGCATTTGCTGCTCCTGCTGTTGCTGCTGCTCCTGCCGGTGCTGCGCGTCTTTCTCGGCCTGCTCCTGCAGCATGGTCAGCTGCTGCTGCTGCTGCTGTATTTGTTGCTCCTGCTGCTGCACCTTCTGGAGGAGGAGGATGTTGCTTTCTTTTAGCCGACGCAGTTCGGCTGCCTCGGCCCGTTGCTGCTTATCCTTTTCCGCCCTTTCCTGCATGTGAAAGTCGCAGCAATGCCCAGTGAATTAGCCGTAAGAAAAACATTTAGCAAGTTAAAGGACAGAAAAGGCAGTCTCAGAGCTGGCAGGGTTAGCCACATGCGTGTTTGGGAGTTGGGGGCATGTGTATGCTAACATCTTCTCTCTGCAGTCTGAGAGTTTCTAATGCTTCCTGAGCCTCCTGTAACTTCTGCTGCAACTTCTCCCTTTCGTGGTTGGCCGCTTGCTGCTGCTGAAGCAGCTGATCCTGCAGTTCCCTTTGATGCTGCTGCTGGGCTTCCTGCTGCTTCTGGTGGGCTACTTGGAGCTCTTGAATCTGTTCCAGGTGTTGCTGGTGCATTGAGTGCTGGTTCTTTAGGCGCTCCTCAATCTGTTGCGCTGCTGCCACTGCTGCTGCCTCACGTTCTTGGTCCTGCTGAGCTCGCAGGGTTTCTACCTGAAACAGACTACAAAGCATGGAACTTATCCTGGAGCAGTATATGGGGTAGGTAAGGCAGTAGTGCTCTGATCCGGGTTTTGAGTCCTAAGTTTAAGGCTGTTGTCTCACAAGCTTCTCTTGTTGCTGCATTGCTCCAGCAGTGCGCTGCAGCTCCAGTTCCAGCAAAGTGATGCTTTGCTGCAGTTGCTGTTTCTGCTGGTCATGCGCTGCAGCTGCCTCAGCTGCTGCCGATGCAACTGCTCCAACCTGCAGCAGAACCCAAAACCAGAGGAGCATGGTTGATCGTCCGGAAACTGGCATACGGATTTGGAAGGCTCATATGTGCAGCCTCAGGGGGGGCTTACCTGTCTGTCACAGATAGATTTAAACCCCAGGAGGCTGCTTTCCATCCACCTTGCAGCGTCTCTTATGTTGTGCTGTAGTAAAACTCGGAGAAGCTGAAGCTGTTGCTGCAGCGAACCAACAGCAGCTGCCGCGGCAGTGAGACGCCCTTGCTGACGCTGAAGGCTGGCTGCATGCTGCTGTTGTCGCTGCTGTCTGGAATGCAGCGCAAGCTCCTTCTGTTGCAGCTGTTGCTGCTTCTGCATCAACAGCTTTTCGGCCATTTGGTGGTCTAACTGCTGCTGCTGCAGCTCCTGCTGTTGAGCGTGAAGCTCCTTGAGTTGCTGCCGTTGTCGTTCCTCCTGTTGCAGCAGCAGTCTTTCGTGTTGTACTGCATCTTCCATTCCTCGAACGTTCGATCCCCTACCTCCGTGCTGTTGCTGGAAATGTTGCCCCTCTTCTCCTTGCGGCAGTTTCTGTTGCTGCTCAGGCGGTCTGGCATTGTTCTTTTCGTCGTTGCATTGATAGAATGGCTGAGGCGAAGAGTCCTCAATAATACATCGTTCGTTCAAAGCGTTGGATTTGTTCTTTGTGCGGCTGATGCTGTTGGTGCTGCTGGGGGATCTGCAACTGCTGCTCCTGCTGGTGATTCGGCGGCTCTGTTGGTTCTCTTCTCTCCCTTTTCGTCCCTCTATGTCCTTACATTGCAATGATCGACTCCGTGTTTCCAACCGTCTCTGTTGCAGCAATTGTTCCTGTTGCCACTTGCGCAGTGTGTGATGGCGATGCTGTTCTCGATAGGTAGAACCGTCTCCTAGGAGAAGGCGACGACTGCGGGAAATCAGAGAGGCAACCGAGTCCTTGCTGCATATGCTGCAGTCGCTATGATATTCTTGCTGTTGCACCCGCTGACAATGCCTCTGTTGTCGAGGCTTTATTTCGCGTTGTATCTTTCCATCCTCCGACTGCTGGGACTGCTGCTTCCAGGGTATGGCACGCGATCTACAGGGAACGCGTCTATTGCTGCTGTTTTTACTACTGTACCTGTTGATGCTGTTGCTGTTAGGTCTGGCGCTGCCTGTTGCTTGCTTTTTACCTCTCTCTCTGCCATCAGGACCCGCGCTGATTTTCCTGAGCAGCTGCCGGCTGCTTCCCTTCAGCATGCCCCCGACTGTGCCTCTGTTTTTTCTGTTTCTCCTGCTGCTGCTGCTACTGCTGCTGCGATGACTTGCAGGACCTGAGCAGTTGCTGCTGAGGCGCGAAGAGCAGTACATTTCCGTTTGGTTTGAGTAATTTTGCCCTCCGGAACTGTTGCTACGACTGCTTCTGTGGCTGCTCGGCTGAGGATCTCGCGCACGACAGGGAAATGCCCCTTTGCTTGGGAGCCTTTGTCGGTGTCGGCTGGGGTTTTGCCCGCGGCAAGCGTGAGGGTGACTCATATGTTGGTGCTCAGCAGAAGAGCCTATTTCTGTATGCTGTCCCTGTCGCTGTAGGTGCCTCTGCCTCTCGTGTTCCCCCTGCTGCCGCTGCCAGGTCTCAGCAGATGCAGGCAATACATTTCCAGCAGCAGCTTCCACGAGTCCCGGTATTGCTATAGATCGACGAAAAGCCGTACTGCTGTTCCCTTCAGAGACTTTCTCCTCAAAACGGCCATCTATGGAACTGCTTCTCTTCCTTTCACAGCGGCGCTGTTGGCTCTGCTGCATCACCAGCTGCTGCAGCTGTAATCGGTGTTGTCTCTGTGGGAACTGTTGCATTTTGCACTGCTCGTCAGGGGGCATTCCGCTACCTCCACCAATATGGTTGCTGAGAAGGAGTGAGAAGAAGTCTTCTTCCGCCATTGTTGTTCCCGTCCCTCCTGCAGGTGCCGCCCTTCGCTGTGTAGTTGTTGCTGCACAGAGTCAGCGGCCACTGGTGTCAGTATGTGCTGCATGGCTGAACATTTCATGCATCTCGCAAGCCCCTTGCTTTTGAGAGTAAATCTCAGTTCCTTGCCTCAACCATGGGCACTCTGCACACGTGCTCGAAGGCGTCTTCTTGGGCTGACTCAATCTTCCACAATCTTCGCCCTTCTCAGAACTTGCTACGGCAGCTCTTGTTGTTCCTTGGCCATTTCACTGTTTATAGCTGGTGCATTTACTGACTTTGCTCGGTTGGACCTTGAGCGGGCCTGCTATGGTGCCCTTAGCACAGCTGTTCAAGTCCTTGCGCTTCAGCCTGTTTGTTCCTATTCAGAAAAACAAGCTGTTGCAATTTACAAGGATTTGCAATAGGATAAAATGTTAAGCTCTTCAACGCCGTGTGTAGGGCGTTGTGGTCCTTCGGTTTCCCCGGAAAATAGCAAATCACGATGTTTGGTTCGTGTTCGCCTCAAATATTTCGAAGGTCTCATCCAGAATGCAAAATATTATGGATTAATAGCCTTCGTTCAGCCCATAGGCAAATGCAGTGCTTCTGTATTCACTGTCTGTTGATGGAGGGGCCCCGGGGCAGCAATGACGACTCTGCGAGTCCTTTTGGCACGTTGGGAGGGTAGGTGGGTCGCTTGTACAGTTCACGGCAGTGTTTAGGGTGAATGACTTCAAAGTAAGTGAAATTTTTATTCTCTCTTCGAACTATCAAAACATTCGTAGTCCTGACGATGGCAGAAAGCCCCGCACATCAGAAGAGGCCAGTGGCCTTCGGCTGTCTGTATATTAGACGTAGCAGTCCCTTCGGATAGTTGCCCAACTATACCAAACACTGCAGGAAACATGCTCGATATTTTCGCCTGAATATTTTCCCCTACCAATGACAACGAATGTTTGGGTGTTTCTCTAATGTCTCGGAATTGGGGAGGATGGATGAACAGCTCACCCAAGTCTGTCGGCCAGCGTTGCGGCATGAGTTATTTCAGTTGTGGGCGTGTCCGTTGACAGGCCAGAGGCCGACTAAAAGCAGTTTGTGTCCTCCATAACTGAAAGAGGAACAAAGCCCCAAAGTAATATCAGGCAGATCAGGCAGTGACAGGTTTGACTGCTTCACATGTTCAGGCTTGTACTAGCGATCTGCTTGCCCGTAGGGGACCCGGTTAGACCAAGTTTCACAGTGTTCCTTTACTCAGCTTTGTTTGGCGAAAAAAGCAACGGAAGGAGGCTTGCTCCCCAGCAGCCGCAGCCAACAGTTTTGAGTACGTCATACCCTGAACCGCCCTGGTGCTAAACACCCATACCTATTGTTCCCATTCCTGTGATACATCGAATATGTTTTGACTGGGATGTTGTATCCATGAGCAAATACTGCAGATACTATTCTGGGAGTCATGGAACTATGTAGGGCGTAGAGTGCGAGCCATGTGGTGTAAGCACAGCTGCAGCGGTTCCAGACAGAAGGCAGCTGCTTTATTTCTGCAAAGTAGGGAGAAATGAGATGAATGTTTCTCAGACATTGCAGCAGAGTTTTCGCTTGAATCCCGTTTCAATGATCAAGCAAGGAATCGACGACTTTGGCGAGTTTGGCGAGTTTAGAAAACAACGTGCAGGTCCCCTCTTTAGATCTGCGCCTACCTTGCTTCTCTTACCAGTAGGAATTTCGCATGTTCGAAGGCTGTGGACCCGGCATTACAGGCCGTGGTAGCCAGACAAGCTGGGCTCGTCTTGTTGTTTGAACGCACCGACTTCCGCGTATGCTGCCGAAATTCCGATATCTAGGAAGCCTGCCCAGATTAAGGTCTGCGCTTGCAAGCGAAAACGTCCTCTTGCGTTTCGATGCTTCCACATCTTGCATTGTTGGCTGGTCATACTTAATCCGTCCTGTTTGATCAGCCTGGCGACTAGATACCAGACAGCAAGGACAGGCGAAACGGAACAAAAGGAGGAGTGACGCCATCACTAAAAGACGTTGAACAAGTTTTGCAGCACATCACAATCGATTGTGCCCTCGGGGAATATTACAACAACGGTTGTACTCTTTGTAGATTTGATACATCTATGAACTGCTTCGTGCCTTCAATGCGCACTAAAAAACAAATGGAACATGCGCATTGAAGGCAAGAAGCAGTTCACAGATATACCAAGTCTACAAACAGTACGACCGTCGTTGAGCTTTGCAAAGGTGCCTTTTCGTCTGTCTTCAATACGCCTCGCTGTCTGTTCATCATCATCACATTGGCCTGCTTGCCAACATTCTCCGCCTGCACTCATGGTGCTCCGCCACTGACACATTATAGCATACCTGCCTACTCTACCATAGTGAAAAACTGCCGCGAGCATTCAACGACAGCAGAACCTCCCCAGCCTACCTGTAGGAACTGAGCCAGTCTCTCAGAAGCACACGGGCAGCAAATAACCGGACAAAAAGAGCCTAGCTGAAGACATATCAACCGCCTCTGTGTACCATGCGAACCGCTGGTGTACGCCATATTGCTTGACAATAAGAACCGAAAATACAACGTATACCATAAACATACAAGCGGCAGACTCGCCAGCTGATCATAGTGCATAACGCCGACATTATCGTACATCGCAAACACTACTGAACTGACTCAAGGCAGCATTAACAAGAGCTCAAACACAGAAACGTGGCAATCGCTGTAAATCCCCCACTTCCACCTGCCTCCGTCTGCAATCTACATAGTGTTGCATTCTAATACTCGCCGTCTAGGTAGAATTTCCTGTTGTTGCTTGTCCCGGGAAAATTGCGGAAAGTGGATCTGGGGACATTCAGTTTTTCACTACTGATTCCAGATGGCTAGCAGATATTCACTGGCAACGAGACGCAATGAATAAGAAAAACGAATACAGCAGTAACTGCTGCTGCAGAAACGCCCAAACAACGGTTGCGGCAACGAAGTACCCCCATTTGGGGAGGTACTCGTGTGCATATGCGCCTTGCTCCGGGGTGGAAGGCACATCTTTTTATCCTGTCATATCCAAACGGCCAGCAGGCCCCTAACGCCGCATCGGCGATGGATACTCCTGTAGATGCCATCTACTTGCACTGCTTGCAGTCCCCTCTATAGGTAGTGCTGGTGCTTCTGCCGCACAGGTGCTCTTCCTGTGGTTTCATTGCTGCGCAATTTCCTGCAGGTGAATCCTTGCATGGCAACAAAAGTACTAGAGCACTAGAGCACAGAGCTAATGCATTAGAACATCAATGCATTAGAGCATCAGCGCCTTGCTTTCTATTCCGTGCACGTAGCCCTGTACGCCATTGCTGAAGTGTGTACGTTGTCATTGAAGCTGTGCACGTTGCTGCAACTGCTGCGCATGTCGCTGCCGGGAATCGGCAAGCTCTGCTGCTGCTGTTGCTTCTTAGCAAGCCAGGGACCACAAACATGGTGGGGGTGGCAGTTGCTGGTTTTTATCAGTACCAGGGAGCTGCAGCGTGACGGCAATTGCTGCTGCTGCTCCATAGGACGTCACTGCTTTGGTCAGGGCACTCTCAACTTCTCAATCTTCTCAGCTATTTCGGCTCCAGAAACAGCCTGGGCAGAAGTGTACTCGCCCCATTTCTTCTCCACAACTGCTTAGGCAAATTTGGAGAAGATCTAATCATGCGCTTGCTTCGTGCCACTGCTTTTGTTGCAGTTGGTATTTCGCCATCAGACCTGAGATGTGATGCCCGTCAGATTTTCACGTCCTCAACGTCATCTGGCCAATACCATTGCCTCAGAAAGTCTAAAACATGGGCCTTGTTGAAATCGCCAAATTCTTCCTCCACGGCTAGAATGTCTCTGTCTGCATCCCTCGCTACAAGCAGCGGTATAGAGACCAAGCCCGTCTCTGGAGGTTGAATGTTTCTGCAGCTGGCGCATGCAGCCCTTGGTGGCCACCTTGTGTCGCAGTTCGCATAATTGACAGCTCCGAGATCGCCCCTCAGGAAGGCGAGCGTGGTGTCAGCGGCTGTACGGACAGTCACCGCGTTGTGAAGTCTCCATAGCCACAGCTTCAGCTCGTCCATTTTGCGCGCCTCCGCCTGTCTATTCGTCCATGCGGAATTCGAACCCCCGAGCTGCCCTCTAAAATCCTCAAGAGAAGAGCTGTTATTTCCATTTGGTACGGGCACCTGCATGTGCACCTGCCTACGTGCTTTTATATCTCTGGGAAGAGGCAAGCGGATGTGGGCCTCCCCCGCAGGAGGGGAAATAGCATCCAGCCCGTGGCTTCGCCGTGAAAATAGCAAGGTGAAATGTTGTCGGCAAGCGTTGCAGCCAAAAAACCGACGCAGAAAATTGTATATACCGTAAGCGACTTCGAAGGCGGGGACGGACATGCAACCCAATGATGGATTTCGCTCAATTAGAGCTTCCTGAGCATATGTCCCGCAACAAATGCAACAAAAAAATTGAGGCATGGGCAGGAAGCTATTGACTCCAGCAGATTTCTTCTGTGTGAATCGCATTGTCCTGTGTTCAACAAAAATGCTTCATGCTCTAACCGTGATGGAACGGGTATTGTGGCAAGCGCACATCCCGCATAATTTACGGGGCGAGTCCTCTAGTTCCACGTGCAAATTTAACAGGATGAGGGAGAGCACTCACAGTCGACAAAGATGCGGTGTCAATAACTTGATCAAGGTTCACAGGTCTTCGCTGCTGCTGTTGCTGCTGCAGTAGGTAAATTGGTAGCGCCTGGCCTTTTCGTTTGAAAAATACCTTGTCGCGTCCGCACTTGGAGTGTGTGCTGATCTTAACGGAGAGCTCCTTAGCCCCCTCCGCCAGCACATGCATCAACATCCACACACTACATGTGAGGGTTGTGCAGTGCTTAAGCTTGGGCTCCTCCAAAGGCGGCAGCGGCAGTGCCTCGGCACCGAATGAAACCGATCCTATCCATTTACGCCAGTCTGCTGTTTTGAGACCCTTGGTAAAACGCAAACTGTCGTCGATATTCATGTATAGCTCAAGAACCTCTGAGAAACTTGGGCTTTCCCTTGTGACGAGTTCAGGCTTCCGCAAGGGGAGGTCATGCAGAGGAACCTGCATAGAGTTATGAAGATGGATTATTGCGAGAGCAGCTGCCCGCTTTACCGACTCGATAGGTATCACAGCACGCACTATTTCCAGTAAGTCCACCAACGCAAACTCATCAGCAAAGCTCATGTGCTCCCTTTCCGTTACTACCCAGCTCGCCAAAATGAACTGCAGGCCCCTAATGCCGTCGTGAAGACGCGCTCGAGCGGAAGACCCACAAGTTGTTTCGCTATTACCCGCTCGCGAACTACGTCTTCCAACCCCTCGGCCTTCTTTCGTCTGCTGCTGGGAAGCAGGCGAATCCACGGATCCCGGCAATTGCTCATGATGCCATCTGTATGCACTGCACGGAACGCCGCGCAAATGCTCGAAGGCGGCAAATTTACCTCCGAGTGTCAGCTGGCTGCAGCAAAAATAAGCAAAAACAACGGGTAGAAAGGCTGAAGGGCAGATGCACCAATTAGGTGCTCTTTTCGCGTTAACTGCAAGACTATGGGAACAAAACCTTATCAAGGGGCTTACAGGTCGGTTTTTTTAATTTGTTGCTGTGTTTTTCTGGCGGCATATTGTACAGCAAGATATATGTCATCGCTCGGGAGTGCTAGGGAATGGATTGCGAGGTTTCCAGGATGAGACGTGTCAAAAGAATCCAAGGCGCCTCCATCAGGCATATCTGGGATATCAAAATGCAGGTTTCCCTCAAGTTGTGTGCCGCCCTTTCGATGCTGTTCAGAGGCCGGCAATTGCAGGTGGAGGGACGGGGGGACAAACAATTTGATGGACGGTAGGGCAACAATGCCCAAGTTGCCACAAATATCCATGGTGCTCTGACCCTCCATGCAGTTCATAGCCGCGAAATGAAAACGAGGGTGGAGATCCATTGCTAGTTGCGAAAACGTCCGTCTGTACGAAAGGCAGTGAGGGCACCACGCCGAATAAAACATCATTATCAGGCCCTTTCCAGTATCCCTGGCCTTCGCCATGACCCGCCGGTACTCTTCCACCGTAACAGCTTCATCTACAACTGGATCCGTTGCAAACATACATCTATGCCCTCGACTTCCAGTTGACGCTGCAGATTTCACCGCAGCTGCCACTGAGGGGGCCGCGTGCGGCGAGGATGTCGCATCTGCATCTGTGGAAAAGAGTCCATCTACTTCGCTCAGCGTCGGATCCACCAGAAGACCTGCAGACGATGATCGGCCTGCGCTAGGATGGACTTCCACGGAACCCACAACCTGTCCCAGTGCCAGCTGGAGTTGGGCGACAAGCAAGCCGAGATTAAGTATGGCAAACCGAGTAAACGTGAAGGTACCCACCCCTCCTGGAGGATTTTTATGTAGATGCGACCTCATCAGCTGCGTGCGCAGACTGGAAACGCGGTACCTACTGAACCTGGGCGAAGGCACGACGGCGAATTAGGGGGCGGAGGTGCGCTGAGCGGTTCTCTGCTACGACGGGGTCTACTACGTTAGTACAGAAGATTAATACAGCTGAGCTTAACATTGAACTGCAAAAAACATGTCTTGGAGCTGGAAAATCAGCAGATGGCCCTAGACAGCTTAATTCGTAGCCAGGCGAGATGCAGTGGAGACAGGCGCCGTGTTTTCACTAGACTTGTGTAATTCTCGACCAGTCAAAGTGAACCTACAAAACAAAGGTGAAATGCGCTAGGTATATTGAAAATATCATGTTTACCCACTTGTCATCAAGTTTGTGCGCTCGGAGTGATACAAGGCAGACGGAAGAATAGTGGCCACGGCATGGCATGTGCATCCTAGCTCCGACTTGTCGTTTGCCTTTCTCCGCCGTTTAAAGATTTTTGCAGATAGAAAAGTACTATTGATAGAAATAAGTAGAAAACTAGCAGAGTCCGTACTCTTCGTCACGGATTCGATGCCAGCTGGCCGTATGACTCCAAAAAGCGTGGCGGGGGACCACACCAGCAGAATGTGAGAAGTATTCAGTTAGGTTGGCGTACCTCTCCACGGTCTATACTTTACAGCATTAGCCTATTTCCTGCTCTTCTAGTACGGCTGAAAGGATGTTTTGCAAGTTCCTTCTATCAGCGGGGTTGATAGCGGTGCAATTAATCTTTTCGGGTGTAGCGTTGTGCACCATAGTGAAAGCGGGTCCTGGTTCTTATCCATCCTTTCCACAGGGTACTGTGGGATGCAAGAAATCAAACACGTTAAGGTGAGAGTTCCTCAAGTGCAACTGGAATCCTTCCCCAATCTCCAGGAGTCCTGAACATAGAGGGGCAAGAGCCGGGAGCTGCGGGAGAAGACGCGGCCTGCATTGAGTTACGGCGCATGTTGCCGCAATTGAAGGTGCAATATAGCCCCATATGCGGGCACAAACAAGCCTTCCTGACTGTATATTTGATGACTGTACTCGACTGTTGGAGACTTCTTGCTTTTTCCACTAGGGCTGACTTCCTCTCTTTGTCTGCCTCCACCAGTGATCCCTGTCGATGCTGTACTGCTTCACTCATCGCCACCTGTTGATCCTAATGAAACTGCAGTCACATGAGCACCTAAAGAGTAGAATGGAAGTAATTCTGAAGAGAGGCGGGAGTCAGTATACACAAGTGCAGCTGCAGAATACAATTGCTGACCATGAGGACGTAGGCCAAATGCATAGGGGAGCCAGTCGCTTGATATACTCCACCGTAAAGTCGTACTGGGTGGGCCGGAAAAGCTACGGGACAACCCTTTGAACACGGTAGCCTTGAAAACTCGTCCTCAGGTGAGTCGGGGATTGATCAGTCTGAATAGTGAAATGACTGCAATGTTAGTAATGCAGACACTTTACAACCTACCGGACCGCATTGAGCTCTTTTTGTCGCGTCCTGGGTGCTTCGGCTCTCTCTCCGTGAAACGGAATTAGTAGCAAGCGATAATGTTATGTTACTTTGAGCTGTTGGTTTGCTGAGAGAGCATCACCGCAACTGGTGAAGCACGAGCATCGGCTGCTTGAAATCAAGGTGAGTGACTCATGGAGGCGGTGTCTGGTGTGTGAAGAGGCTTCCGTCGCCTGGCACCCTCACTGTCTCTCCAAGCCAGTTGCTTGTTCTTTTCAAGTTGATATATCAGCGGACCGGCGACGAGGGAGGAGCCAGGAATGAAGGGGCGATAAGGCGACTTCAGTATTGGGTGCTTCTGAGCGTCGGTGCTAGCCACTCCCGAATGCCTTTAACCTGCCCCGGATCTTGTTCGACCACCACTTCCGATACACGAAGCTAAGTGCTAGCATAAAAGCAAACTCTGTTGTGCTCTCACGAACCACTGGTGGGCAGACACTATGATAAACTTGTACCGTGGCCCTTCGGCTGTGCTGCGGCTGATTCCCTTTAACCATTCCACTATAAAATGGCGGGGAGGGTGAGACCAACATTTGAAAGAAGGGTCGCTGGGTAAAAAATTTACATAATTTCCCTGAACAGCCCCCAAATGTTGTGCGCAGCCGTCCTAAGCATTGGCTTCGTTGCATCTCATAGCGTCTGGCTTCCTAACTACATCCTATAACTACCCAAATTCCCAGAGGTCAATAATTAGAATTCCAAAACATGTTCGAGTCTCTATTATAAACACAGAAAGCTCCCAGAATAAGAAAACAGACTGGTAGAACGATCAGGGCTGACGCCGCGTTCTCATTGAGGATCGGTGCCCGACCTTTTAAGTTAGCGGGGAAATATTAAAGCAGCAACAACATAGTCAGGTGCCTGACCTATAAACTGCTATCCACATAAATGCTATATTCACAGACATAATTGTTTCTATTCATTTTCCATTTATTAGATCTATGGAAGTCCTATCTGGTGCCCAAAGTAGTGACTAAGCACTGCACTACACGGCAGGCGTGGATAACTGGCTCACTAACCCTACTAAGCTGTGGTATCCAACTCCCCCTAGTTAATAATATGCTAGTCGTAAATTTTTAATATTTATTCCCTTTACAGTCATAACGCCGCTAGAGGCCACACCGGAGACGCATTGTAGTGCCTGTGTGCCTGCGCACTAGACATCCAGCCCCATGTCGCCCGCTTGTGGCGTGGCAACACCTCGCACAGTCCCAGCCCTACATATTCGACAGCTTTTTGTGGATTTCGCTCAAAAGAGTATGATTTTACGACTCTTAAGTCTTTCTATCGTTTCCGGGCATGTAATAGTGCCCGGTACCAGTCACACCCCCAATTGCTGCTTTCTACGATTCGTCGTCCAGAAGAAATGACAGCCAAGCCACCGGCCGCAGCCTCAGCTGGGAGAAAAACCCCCAGCGAATTCCTACAGAGCGTATTGGGAGGGAACGTTCTTGTCAAGCTTAACAGCGGAGTTGTATACAAAGGTAATCGCCGTGCTGCATATGCCACCAGTTCACAGACTCCGCATTGCCTGTGGAGTTCTTCGCAGCATTCCTAAAGCCGCCGTTTCTTTGATAGTGAAACACTTAGTTCAAGCTTCATCGTGTGATCATGTTTGATCCAGACAGTTCTCGCAATTATACTGCGATTGCAATTAACGCCATATAACACGAATCCTTATTCTTCAGCGTCTTTGGTGTAATTTGCATGTACATTTTTATTGTATGCATTACTTGTTTTGCATATTAAGTCAAGTGTACATTGTTTGCTTTACGTGGGTGGGCTCCCCACACCCAAGGAAGGACCCCAGTATGGTATAGAATCATCAGATTCCCCGGCACCTTCGGCGTCATGGCACTACTTGACACGTACTGTCTTGACGCCAGTTCTACGGCAATACTTGCATTCACATGTGTGTTTGCTCATGTATTTATCATGTATGCATCTATTATGCATGATATATCATCCCGCTTCGGCGTACACACGTAGCGGTGACTAAGGGGGAGAGGGGACAACGTCTGCTGCGATCACAGGTATTATGCAGTGTCTGGACGACCGAATGAACATCGCTCTAGAGAAGGCTCAGGAGTTTTCGGAGGAGCAGACACTTGTAGCTTCTTATCCACTGGCACTTATTCGGGGAAACAACGGTGAGGACTTTAAACACTGAGACAGCGGAGCGCCAATCCCGTCACATTTGCTAGCGCGAAACAGCTGACGGTCGCTTTTGCAATGAGCTGCGTGGTTGTGTTTGCGTAGTGCTCTACATTAGCTCCGAGAAGGAAGCAGAAGCCCAGTGAAGAACTGGGATGACTGGCTGGAAGGCAATAATCCCCCACTAGACGGTGCTGTGGAAAACTCTGTTCACATTTTTCGTTTAAAAAGTGCTTCTTCTGTCGTCTACATCCACACATGCACACCGTTAGATCGGCAATACGGTCACAAAGCGTTTGCTCTGCGGCAACGCAAATGGCCTTAATTTGCGTGCCGGTGACCAGTTAGCTACCAAGCAACCGCGCGCAGCAGCACACCTAGCTAGACAACCAACTATTAATACAGAAGCATCGGTTGCGAAGCTGCGACATGAGCATCTGCTGCCGTACAACCTAGTGTCGGCTGAATGTAGCACCCCTCCCCTGATCATTCCACCTACAAAGTGACTAGGTGCTCGTAAAGCTGCTCATTTGCTGGAATCCTCTGCAGACTCAAACTGCATGCAGAGCGAATTGGCTACCACGATGAACAGAGATATGTTTGGCGCTGCTTCCTCATCCATCGTCCTCATCTACGTCTCGATGCTTCTTCTTCTTGTGTTTTTTTTGGGGTTTGTCCGCGGGCTCATCTTCAGTTGCCTCTTCCTCCTCTGCACGCCTCTTCTTCTTCTTCAGCTGCAAAACACATTAAAAACGGTGCCAATGAAACACTCACATCTATTCCCTGGGTGTGCTCCTTGACTCCGAGTCCAGTGCCCCAACGAACATTCTACTCCACAAACGGCAAGCTTCCACTGAATCACCTTTTCAGTAACGCCGTTCTGTGTTGTTTCCTCTCCTCCTGTTGCTTCCGGCTGCTCTTCTTTCTCTCCTTTCACATGAAGAGCTGGTTTCTGTGGTATGAGCGGTTCTCCAGTCAATTTGGGGAGGAACCCTTCCGTCTTCAGCCACTCCTTAGGCGTGTTCTCGTTTGGTCTCCCTTTCTTGTCCAGCAACCCCCCTAAAATCATCTTCTTCTTCTCGGATGCGCGTGGCCCATAGCCCCACCGCATTGCATACGTATCCCGATCCATCAACACCCGTTTTACCGCCGCCACCACCCCATGGTCAACGCTCGCTATCACTGGAGTTGACATTTGTGCTACGCCTATGCGTTCAAAATGCACCAACATTTGCATGTGCATATTCGTTTGGCGTGCCAAACAGATAGAACATGCGCACGTTCTATGGCGTACAACCTTCAACTCCGACCCATATCTATGTATGGCTAAATATTGCATATAAATGTGCCATGTATTGCTCGAGGTGAGAGCTCAAGAAGGTTGGGTTAACGCCCTGTTTCGGTTGTGTGTACCTACCTAGTGCGATAGCTTCTCCCTTTGTGGTCATGAGCACAACCTCGGCGTTAACCTCTATGTTATTTTCAAACCTCAGGACTCCTGGGATCATGAGCTTCGCCCCGTAGCAAATAGCGTTGACGCATGAATCCTTCACCACTATGCGGGGAAGGCCAACGAGGAGCATCTCCAACGGGAATATTATTCTTAAGCAATCAATGCACACAATGCAATCAGTACGAACATATAGGTGTATGCGCCAACAAAGAACTCATTCATGCAGACGAACCGAATGACGACTGAAGGAGCACATGAATGATGTACTATTCCCCCGACACTATGCCATCGTGACAAATGAGCCGCCAACTGAAATTGAGAATTGGACCTGACACCCTTTGCCGCAAACAGTCATCAGCCCTCAGAATAACCCACCTCCTGAGATACGTTTCGTCTCGGAATGCGTCGTACACATACATCGCATCGAGGACGTCATGCAGCGTGACGAGGTTTCCGTCTTCTTGTAAATTGCCGCTTCGCACGCGGCGCAGTTCTTGCATGTGCGCGCCAGTACCCAACAGAAGCCCCAAGTGGACACACAAAGTACGGATGTAGGTACCCGCCTCGCACGACACCCGAAACACGCACAAATGCTTTTCCTCGTCGTAGGATAATATTTCCGACTCGTAGATCGTCCTGAAACAAACACCAACACCCCATTAACTTGACAATCCGAGACGAATTAACCCATGTACGAACGCCAACGCCCTTCAGCGCAGCAAAACTACCCACCAATACTGCCAGCTAGGAGTTCCACGAACTACCAATATATCCATTAGCTAGTGTGGTCGTACACATAACGTTAACGAACACAAATCGCGCTCACCTGATACGCAGCTGCCGCTTCACAGCGGAAATGACAGGCGGCCTTTGAAACAGGGCACCAGTGAGGGTCTCCAGGGCCTACATTAAAAAACAAACAAAATGACTAGCATACTCCTGCCTCCCCTTCAAGGATCTTATATAAAATAATGATAATGTAAATAATATATATTACATAGATGCTGCATATACATGTGCACGCTTCAATATACTGTCCTGATCGGCAAACACCAGCTGCAAACCATTGTATCTGAGCTTCAAGTACTCGCAAACACCTCGTACGGACCCGCGCCACCTTAGCCTTGCTTTCTGGCTTGGAGTGAAAACGCGCGACGGCAACGTATTCCTTCCCCGCGCTTTGTTGGCTCTTCACGAGGCGAGTGGCTCTGCAAATGAAAGAGAAGGCCGAAGAGTACCATGTTGTAGAGTTATGGAACCAGCCAACTAAACAACGGCGTTTAATCAATCTTGTCCACCAGATACAGCAAAACCACGAGGCAGAAAACCATTCGTAACTCCCCTTCTTCGTGTCCACTCTTTTTGGCTTTTGAATTGTATATGCTTTCCGTGCGAATCCTATACATGCAATATGCCAAGCGCTATAAAGCAATACATGCGCCAAAAACCGCTTGCCTGTTTATGCACACGAGGAGGCATCCCGTTACCTTCGGGTCCAGAGTGCCGCTATGGCCTGTCTTCTCAACCCGCAGGATCTTCTTAAGCCACGCTACAACCTACAGCAAGCAAAACGCACGAGCTTTCCCCCACTAGTATCGGGATGACAATGACGCAACAACTGCAGCTGCAACACCTCCAGCACCACAATCAGCACGGCTAGCAGTTGCAGAACGGCATGTATGCATACCTCGTGTGAAGAAGGGTTCGCTGGCTTGTCGAGAAGCAACGAACCGTAATTCAAGTGTTGCTGAAGAGGCCTCGCCAACGGGCTGCTGCCGAAGGGGAGGGGCGTGTAGTGCCCCGTCCTAACGTTCAGCCGGTCATAGTTCTACATACGCATCATACACAACAGCAGCACGCATAAAGTACATGAACACACATAAATACAAAAAAACAAACAATAGAAGCAAAATACAAACAATGGGATAGTCAAGGGTGCGCTTGGCCTTGCTCCACAGTTTCAGGGGTGAGGTGGGCGAACCGCTGCGTATTTCGAGTCGTCAGCAACAGGAATACACGAACAGTTCACAAATAGTTGAGATGACATAGAGAATGCAACAAAGAAATTACCTTGAGGAGCAGCGGCCACTTGCTGGTGTCAATCGGTGGTGGGGTACTAGTGGGCTGGATGACAAAGCCGTCGTTCAAGCTGGCCCTCTTCTTTTCTTTTTCTCCCATTCTGCCGAGCTATACGAACAACTGTGGAGGCGGATTTTGTGAGGAGAAATACTGGAAATTTCATGTATGCATGCATGCATGCATGCATGCATGCGATGCGCGTCGACGCAGGAGGCAGCGAAAGCGCTTCTGCTGCAGTTCACTAGCAGAGAAGCTGGCAGGAACAGCAACAGGAAGCTTAGGGACAATAAAATCAGTGAAACGAAGGAGAAAACAAACCCCCTGCGCCCTCTACGAGCCCTTTGACTTGGAGGAGCTCGAGAGGCAGACCGGCCCTCCGGTTGTAGTCGGTGTAGTGAAGATCCCAATCAAATACAAGTATCTATTGCCTTCAACACGACAAAGAAAGATGTAGGGCTACTGGGAAGGCAGGGTGAGAGCATTCAGCAGCTACTGATATTCTGGGTTGCTGCTGGTGTGGGGCAGGGGGCCCGCTTGCATCGGGTGGTCGAGGGTTGTTGTGCTTGTTGTTGTTTCTGCTGCGGCTTCCCCACTTGCTGCAGCAGAAGAGGCATATGCCTACGTAGCTCCATGTTCGGGTGTTTCCTCTTCCGTTGTCGGGCGCTGCTGCTCTTGTTGCTGGTGCTGCTGCTGTAGCAGGAGCGAACCAGCAACTCTTGGGGCTGGGCCACGAAGCCTCTGAAGCAATGCCCCCTAGATCTTCTCGGGTTCAGCGCCAACGCAGTTCGTATTTGAAAGTAAAAAGATAATTAAAACGAATTAAAATCTTATTTTGATTTCATTACTCGGATCTCCTCACTGTAGACGCCCGTCTCTACGTGATGCCGTGTAGGGGGGGGGGGGGG